ATGGATAGGAATAGCAAAGCAATTAACCACAGTGACCTTAATCCTTGAAGTCCCAATTTCACTTGACAAATTCTCCTTACTGTTCCTTCTTACCTCTCTCATGGTACTAGTAAGGAGAATGTATGAAAGTATCAAGTAGGTAGAGTTTCATTTTTTTTTATCGTTAATAAGTTGATGATTGATTTTGGTCTCTGTTGGCACTTCAACGTAAGGTCGGTGAACTAAGGATTTTGCCATCTTGGGATTAATTTTAGAAAAAGAACTCCAAGCAACTGGAAATTCTTAAGAAACAGCGAGCCTGGGAAAAATCTAAGGAAAATTAGGATCTTAAGTATCATGACGCAAAGTAGATTATTCATAAGTTTACATGAACATTATGTCTAAGACAATCTCCAGTCTGCCTCTGCTTAATTTTTTTCTAGGAAACTTGAAGTAGTAAGAATGTTTTCGAAGTTGCTGATTATTTCAAAACTAAAACAAATTTTTATTAACTTTTGAGAACTTATTCTTTTGCACAGGTGTCACAGACTGCAGACTGTTGATATAATATTCTATTTAAATATATTAATTTTCTTGTGTTGCATTTGCCCTCTGGAATTTTTTTTTAATTTCCTTAGGTTCTCGAAATGTCTGGCATGTTAGTTTTAGGAATTGACTCCTTGGTATTCTTTTTTATTTCCATTTTTCTGCACATAATCAGAGCATTAGTTGAATACATATATACATTATGAGGGCACTAGTAGCACTAAGAAATATCTAGTTTTGTTTAATATGCTAATGAGCTTGCATTAGTTATCTTAGTATTATTAACTTTTTGTTAGGCTTGCTTTAGCTAAGCCTTTGAAAACAGCTGACTTTTCGAGATGCTATTGCTGGTTTTCCGCAAAATGGTGACTCATGACATGTCACTAGCCATATCTGGGTATGGCCTCTGATTGGTTGAGACACACTATCCTTGTGGCACGACCGATCAGAAGCACTACCCAGACCTGGGTAGTGACACATCATTAGTATAGAATTTCTTCACTTATTCTTCATTTTTGAGTCATTTCATGGGGAAACCAGTGGTGTCATCAAGAATTGTTGGTTGTTTTCTTAGGCAATTAGCATTTCATTATTTTGTTTTAAGTTCTTATTTAATTTCAGACCTCAGGTGGCACACGCACAAGATTAGGAGCCCATCACTTGGGAAAGGTCATGTTTAAATCTAGCCAACCTCGTCCCTGCTTGGCTGTGGAAGCTCTGCCTCTGAGAAGGTGTGAATTCTGATGTCCTCTGAGATATTCCAACTGAGAAATCCTGGGAAACTTTATCTGATCCTGTAATTCCTGCTGGGGGCAGTTGGACACTTGGGAGATTTGGCCGTTTGTTCCCAAGTGGGGAGGACAGCGTGAAGGAAGGTGAGAGTTTGCTTCTCGTGTTCTTAGAGTTTCATTCATTTTGTTATAATACCACACCTTTTTCCAGAAAAATAAATAGATAACCATTTCGATCAAGAAGGTTGCTTGTCTGCAAACAATATGTCTGGGAATGTTTCACTGTTGAGGACGAAAAACGGGGGTGCAAGAACGTGCTCCCCGGCTCACGTAGTAGGTGTGTCGACGGATGATTCGAGGGCAGAGAACTGAGCACTGAATCGCATTGGTCTGGCTTGGGTGGATTTTCACAAATGACATCAAATTGAGCTGATAGTCACTAAGAATCACTCTAATGGGGGCGACTGGTTGAGGATTTCTCTTCTAAACCTAAAGCTTTTGATTTCCTAACAATAAATAGCCCTCCAAAGAATTGCACAAAACCAAAAATATCATATAAATCATTTCCATAATTGCCAAATTTTGTGATGATATTTTTTGACTACCTGAAAATTTAACTAAAACCGTGAAAACGAAACAACGCTCATAAATAGGTCCAAATTTATTTCATTTCAATCTTTTTCCTATCTGATTAGCTGAAAATTTAACTAAAACCATAAAAACAAAACAAAGCTCATAAATAGGTCCAAATTTATTTCATTTTCATCTTTCTCCTACTTCAGATCATAGCAAATTTAACAAAACTAAGTTTAGGTTACATCAACATCTGTTTTTGTTTACCTGTTGTCTTTTGGTCAACTGAAAACAATAGGGGAACAAACGTGGCTGTTCATGTTAGACTAATAATATCAGCTTTAGACACTAAACCATTTTCGAAGTAAGGAAATACTTGATTAATCAGACAGCTGTGGTAATCTGCTCTATATCCTTATTTTTAAGAAGGACATAGAATAGATTTCCTTGGCCTGTGTGAAAAATCAGGTTAGCTTGACCTAAATTTCGGAAAGCCTTATGTAAACAGCTAGAATAAACATTTTTGCTAAGTCTTAACTTTTCACGATGTAAGGCAATTTCTCGGTGGTGACTTCAAGTGATGCTTCAAATTAGGGTTTGGATATAGGTCTGGAACCATATACGTAAGATCATTTTTTATATATTAAAGGTACATGTTTGGCTAGTTCCAGTCATTTATCGGAATCCCGATTTGAAGTATTCATTCCCAGTCACCACCGTATTTCCACGCTATTTGGGCGATTGTCACGATCGTCACGCAATGCTGGTACAGTCGGCTAGCGTGACTGTCGTGACTAAAGCTTCAAATCTCGTGGGAACTTAAAGATAGGACAATTTAAATAATCATTATGCAGAAAAACCTTAAGATTTAAATGTTTGAAGACTTGCTGTCGAATCCAAAATTTCTTAGCAACTGAAACATTAAATTTTATTAGCTTCAAAATTCTTTCACACTAATTTCTTAAGGTAGAAATAAACCTTTATTTCAATGAGAGAATTAATCGAATTATTGCTACGGGAAGAAAAACAAGCAAAAATTTAAATCTGCAAGATCGCTTTAATCCCTTTAGTTTCCATTTACGCGGCACTGATTTAAACGAATTCAACATTAGATTTTTAAGGGCAATCAATTTTGAGACATAAAACGAAATATTTAAAGCACAATTTACGCGGCACTGTAGCAGTATTGCGTAAATTTTCGCTTCGTAATGTTTCGCTTTATTACTTTCAGATAATTTCGACTCTTTAGAATAATAGTAATAATAAACGACGCGTAAACAATCTGCATAATTTTCACTTCCAATTTTCCTTTAATGTAGGTCTTAACACTAAATACTAAACAATAACTAGGACGAGAGAAATCCAGTATCAGTAGCTTCGCAGAGGAGCGATTATTATTGACTTGCGCTCTTTGGTGAAGTTTGCGGGATGAAGGTCGGTCAGACCAGCGCGATTCTTTGTCCAGTTTTCTGGGCATCGATGACGGAGACCCACTGAAGACTGAGTTTCACTGTCTTGCGCCCTCTTTTTTCTTGTCCACGACTCTGGATATTTTTCACGATATATTGACTTTGTAGACACGCACTTTCCAAACAAAATTATAATTTTCACTACAAAATTATTTTGGCTAATTTTAATTCCAAATTAATGGTGTGGTATTGTGACAGAGTTGAATGGGACCCTCAGAGCATGAGGAGCGAACTCTCACTTTTCTTCACCCTGCCCTCCCCACTTGGGAACAAACGGCTGAATTTTCTAAGTGTCCAACTGCCCCCAGCTTGAATGAAGGGATCAGATAAAACAGACCAGGATTTTAAAGTTGGAATATTAAATGAGGACAGAAGAATGAACACCGACTCGGAGCAGAGTGGAAGCAGCCAGGCAGGGACGGGGGAGGCTAGATTACTTTTTTTTGGTATTTTTTTATTGTGAATAAATGGACAACAGAGACAAACTTTATTCGTTCAATAAAATACTGTTATCTTCAGTACCTGGGCTGTTTACTTTGTAATCCAACTACTTGAGTGAACCAGATAAATACCCTAAAGGCGCAGACATAGTGAAAAATTACACGCAGTAAAGGCTGGTTTTTTCTAACAACATGAACACAAGCGTCAGTTTAGTGAAGACATCAACACCAAAAAGTTAAACACAACTTTAGGAAGCCCACGAACTTATTATAATTCTTCTTCCGCGCTAAGAATTAACACAACATAAGCAAAAGCAAGATAAACCAAAACAAAGTTTGTTTTGTTGTGCTCAGCTCGTGTTGTGTTAATCCTTTACGACGAGAAAACAAGAATAATCTTTGTGCTTACACCTTCAGTTTTGCATTTCAATAAACCTCAGTTGTTGATGACCTCGCTAAACGTAAGTTTGTGGTACGCTGCTAGTAAAAACCAGCCTTAAAATTACACTGTGTTTCCACCCCTAAAAACCTTGTCCGAAATGCTCCAAAGCAAAAACAAATACTGCGTTGTAATGTTGCTTGATAACTCTTTATAGGAGTAGAAACACAGTGCAAAGTTACTGCGCGAAATGTTTCACTGTTTGTCCGAGCCTTATAATAAGCCAAGTTCTGCTTCACATACTATAAAGCTTTAAGCAATCAACAAAGCGACGGCAGCAAGATCGGCACTTGAAAAAATAATTAGCAGTTATGCGAACATCATTTATTGTTCAAATTTTCTCAGCATTTTAACTGATTTACTTTGTACGCGCACGTTTTGAATTTGATATTTGATGGCTAAATGTTTGTGTTCCGTCTCAAATCCATGATTTGTTTTATTATTACTTTTCTTGTTGCTTTGCGTACAAAAACCAAAAAATGTGTAAAACATGAAAGCGAGCGAGCTGGGAAAGCCTTCTGTTGTTTTAATTTTCTCAGCATTTTAAATTTACCTATTAATTTTTACGCGCGCGTTTTGAATTTGATATTACATGGCTAAATGTTTGTGCTCTCAGAACCCTGAACTTCTGTTTTTTCCATACAAACGCGAATAAATGTGCAAAAAAATGAAAGCGAGCGTGCATTAATTTGAAGCCTTTTGTTAGGTGCCATTGTTTTTGCCGTCTTCATTTGTGATTGCTTGAGCTCCAAACGTTGGAAAAACATAAGGAAATAAATTTCAGACTTTTTCAGTGAGCGGTTTGTTTTTCATTAAACGGCATCCCACAAAATACATGCACACAGAAAAAAAACTAACAAAAATAACTTTACTGTGCTCTAAATCCGATGTCAAACTTGCGTGTGATCTTCTTCAAGGCCGTTTTTGGGCTTCACGACTATGCGTGACGAGCCTAAATAACGGCCGAAAAAAAGACTCCAAGTTTGATACGAGTTGCTGTTAATCAGAATTTCAATTTGCACATGTATTTCTTGATTGCTTTGTTATTGCAAAACAAATCGCTTATCTGAAGGCCTTTAGGTTACTGTGAACTTTCAGTCCCAAGTTACAACATGTTATTTTCTTTACTAACTGCTGCAGATTTTCTTTACCAACAGTTCTGAATTTGACAGTTGATCAAAACAAAGCCTCCCCTTTCACGATAATTATGTTTATGTTCAACACCCTTCTTCCCGGTAATTTACTCAAAGAAGTAAAGAGAAATAACATGTTGATCGCTCTAGAATTGACAAAGATGAGTGCAAATTTTCTAAATCTCCCCACTTTACCTCCTCAGAAGAACACTAAATTTTCTACGCCCAGTCTTATTCAGAGTTTGTCAAACCTACTTTAAGACACTGCAGCAAAATTTTGGCGACTCTGTTTTTAATCAAATCATCGTTGCTGTTGTTGTTGCTCTTGCTGTGTAATTCTTATTCCATTTTGCAAGCAGTAGACTGATTATATTGGTAAAATTAATTCAACGAATGTCAGAATGAGACTCTGAAGATTCATAATCAAAGCACTTGCTGTTGTTTTCCAAAAAGAAATTTGAAGGTTAGGCACGCAATCCAAATTTACAATCAATTAAAACAAATTGAAGGAATAATCTAGTTTACCCATGCCAAATCTTATTTTCTTATGATAAAAACTGTGGAATAAATTTTCCCCGAACGTGGAAATGAAATGGAATTGAATTTGAGAATTTAGACATTTTATTTACTTGAACTGAAAAATCACCTTCAAGAATAGGAAGGTAAGTTGTTGCAGTGATGAATGTCAGTCAGAAATTCAAGATCTCAAACAAAACAACAGATTAATTTGCCAATTTGCCACGACTGCAGTTTTACTACTTACGAACACTCTCTCTTCTCCTCTCCCCCCCCCCCCCCCCCCCCCCCCCCACATCGCCTCCCCAATCAAATAATGATGGCTTAGGTTGGCTGACGAATTGATTGGTTGTATTACTATTGTAATCGTTGAAATAATTTGCAGCCAGCAAGAAGCACATCACTGCACATCATCAATATGAAGTATCAATGTGAAGTGCATTTAGTCATTCTCAAGAAGTAAGCAAGAAGAGATTTTGAAATGCACTCATCAAGTTCACAGAAAACGAATATACGAGTCAGCACAGATATGCAATTTACCAACTATACCATTAAAATACAAATCCAAAATAACGCCACTGTGAATTGGTCAGACCCTCCAGCTGTCATACAGGTCAGTTCAAACATCGGTCTGTCTTTTGAAACAGTTGGGTTAAATGTCAGATTATTCTGCACTGATTCTGTTCAGTCAGAATAGATATTAACAGGCGGTCAGTTATTCAGTTTGACAAATCCTTGTTCGGCCAGTATTCAAACAAGTCAGTCAGTAACAACTTTAGAAATTTTTTTCCAACAGCAAAGCCAGTGACTTTAAAAGTCCTAGTCATCCTAGTCACCCTATCTGTCACAGTCACCCCACTCCTCCCAGTCATCCTAGTCATCCCAGTCATCTTAGTCATTCCAGTCACCATAGTCGTCACAGTCATCACAGTCACTCGAGTCATCCGAGTCATACAAGTAACCCTAGTCATTCCAGTAATAGTACTCATCCAAGTAATTCCAGCTATCCTAGTCACCCAAAAATCCAAGTAATTCCAGCTATCCTAGTCACCCAAAAATCCAAGTAATCTGAATCATCTTAGTAATCCTAGTCCCCCCTATTCAACCCAGTTACCGTAACCATCCCAGTTATCCGAGTTACCCTAGTCAATTTAGTCGTAATAGTCATCATAATCATTGCAATCATCATTACACTCCCCTCAGTCATTCCAAAACTCTGTGTCATTCTAGTCATCCCAGTAATAGTAGTCACCCATGTCATCCCAATTATCCTAGTCATTCCCGTCATCCCAGTCATCCTAGTCATCCCAGTCATTATAGTCACCTACGTCATCCTAGTCATCCCAGTTATAGTAGTCAACTAAGTCATCCCAGTCATCCTAGTCATCCCAGTCATTCCATTCGTCCTAGTGATCCCAGTCACCCTAGTCATTTTAAGTCCCAGTCATCCTAGTGATCCCAGTCATCCCAGTAATCCTAGTCACCCTGGTCATCCCAGTCATCCTAGTATTCCTAGGCATCCCAGTCACCCCAGTCATTCTAGTAATCCCAGTCATCCTATTCATTCCAAGTAGTCAACTGCGTCATCCCAGTCATCCTAGTCATCCCAGTCATTCCATTCGTCGTAGTGATCCCAGTCACCCTAGTCATCCTGGTGATCCCAGTCATCCTAGTTATCTCAGTCATCCCAGTCATCCTTATCATCCTAGTTGTCCCAGTCATCCTAGTCATCCTAGTCATGGTAATAATCCCAGTTATGAAAGGTTTGAACCCAGGAGTCATTTCAAAAGGTTGAGTTTGATCGTCCAGTTATCTTACTCATCCCAGTCATCTCAGTCCGCAGTGTCATCCCAGCCATTCAAGCCGTCCTAGTGATCCCAGTCATCCTAGTAACCCAAGTCATCCTAGTCCTCCCAGTCACCCTAGTCATCCCAGTCATCCCAGTCATCCTAATCACCCCAGTCATTCCAGTAGTACAAGTGATCCTAGTCATCCTAGTCATCCCAGTCATCCTTATCACCCTAGTCGTCTCAGTCATCTTACGCATTCCAGTCATCATAGTCATCCTAGTCATGGTAGTCATCCAAGCCATGGAAGTCATCCCAGTTATCTTAGTCATCCTAGTCATGTTAGTAATCCCAAAAATCCCAATCAGTAGTGTCATCCAAGTCATTCCAGTCATCCTAGTCGTCTTAGCAAACTTATTCATCCCAGTCATCCCAGTCATCTTATTCATCCCAGTAACAACAGTCGACTAAGTCATCTTAATCATCCTAGTCTTTCCAGTCACCTCAGTCATCCCAGTGATCCAGGTCATCCCAGTCATCCTAGTGATCCCAGTCATTCTAGTCATTTCAGTCATCCCAGTCATCCTAGTGATGCCAGTCATCCAAGTCATCCTAGTTGTCCCAGTCATCCTAGTGATCCTAGTCATCCCATTCATCCTAGTCACCCTAGTTTTCCTAGTCATCTTAGTCATTCCAGTCAGCCTAGTTATCCCATGCCAGTCATGTTAGTAATCCCGAAAATCCCAGTCATCTCAGTCATCCCAGTCAGCAGTGTCATCCCAGCCATTCAAGTTGTCCTAGTGATCCCAGTCATCCTTGTCACCCAGGTCATCCTAGTGATCCCAGTAATCCCAGTCAACGTAGTCATCCCAGTCATCCTAGTCGTCCCAGTCTTCCTAGTCATCCCAGTCATCGCAGTCATCCTAGTTACCCTAGTCATCCCAGTCAACTTAGTCATCGCAGTCATCCTAGTCACTCTAGTCATCCCAGTCATTTTAGTCATCCTAGCCATTCCAGTCATGTTAGTAATCCCAAAAAATCCCAGTCATCTTTGTCATCTCATTCATCTAGGTCAGCAGTGTCATCTCAGTCATTTCAGTTATCCCAGTCATCTCAGTAATCTTATTCATCCCAGTCACCCTAGTCATCCCAGTCATCCTAGCCATGTTAGTAATCCTTAAAATCCCAGTCATCTTTGTCATCCCAGTCATCAGTATCATTCCAGTCATTCCAGTCATCCCAGTCATAGTAGTCATCCTAGTAATATGCTCTTTGCATGACTGTGATCACGTGATCAACTTTCGGTAAACAAGAAAACAGTTAACTTTTGAAAAATTTTGTTAGCACAAGCTGAAAGAGCATATTAAAAGTAGTTGTAGCTTTCGCTAAGTGCCAACAAATGAAAAAGAATTTGCCTACATCACCGGGTTTAGTTTAAATGTTTATAAAACCATTTTAACTGCTGAGGCGAGAATTTCCACTACAAGCACTCCTTGTTCCTACATCTCTGCCATGCCCTTGGCCTTAAAATCGTTCCTATTTGTCTGCTTAGACATTTTTTAACCTCAAACTTCTCGAGTTTCAAACAGTGAAAGGGTAATAACATTTATAGGTTAGCGCGACTTGAAATAGGGAGTTGTAGTTTGTACAAGTACAGTAGTGTGGCAGAGAACAATGTCTGAACTTTGAAGGTCTGTTTATTTACAACAAAGGTCATCAAAAGTCACATGAAACTACATGTGAAGTCTAAAGCCACTAAAATCCCCAGGGAATCTACACCTTACATTGCACTTTTCACAGCATGATCGAGAATTTTCCTGCCTGCTGCAATACTTCACGTGGCATTAAGCTGGTCGTCTCGCAAGCTGACTGTCTTCGCTCGGCTTGCTTGTTGGCAATTAGGTAACCTGAGAATTTTCAGTCGTATAGCTCAAAAGTAGAAATTGCAACGGCCGACGAAAGTTAGAAGCATTTGTATCAGAAAAACAACTTTTGCCACCCAGTCACGCTTGCAAGGTTTTCCATACAAATCCTTTTAAATACTAATTGTCGTTAAATCTTTCCCTTACACATTTAAGGGCTCAAATTGCCTGTTATGAATTAAAAGGAGATTTGAGCCCTGTAATGCTTAACGAAATATTATTTCATGACAGTTTCTAAACTTTCAAAATTAGGAGGATTTGTATGGAAAACCATGCAAGTGCATGATTGGATGGTAAAAGTTGTTTAGCCCATACAAATGCTTCAAACTTTCTGCGGCCGTTGCAATCGCTACTTTTGACATACATGGCTTTAAATTCTCAGGTTACCTAATTTTAATATGCTTTTTCAGCTTGTGCTAACAAAATTTTTTAAAAGTGAACTGTTTTCGTGTTTACCAAAAGTTGATCATGTGATCAAGTCATGCAAAAAGCCTATCCCAGTCATGTTATTTATTCCAGCAATTCCAGTCACCCCAGTTATAGTAGTCATGCTAGTTCTCCTTGTCATCACAGTCATCCCATTCAATTATTAAGTCAGACAGTCATTTGAATAGATCAACGTGGTAAGAAATTTCATGGGTACAATATGGAATTGCATATCTTCACTAACAGGTACTATAATAACAACCTTATAATAATAATAATAATAATAATAATAATAATAATAATAATAATAATATGGATTGCATATAATTATTATTATTATTATCATCGTATCAGCAGAACTTGGCTATTGATTTAAACGTTGTGACACAGTTGAACAAAGTCGATAAATGCTAATCCAGGAGAAAACTTATAATGACCACGGTTTTTGCATTTAAGTTTTCTGATCATGAGTACTTCACCAACAAGTGCATGTCTCTTAGAATTTTAGTAATCAATCACATTATTTTTGTTCTTGAAACCAAAAAGATTTCAATGTATTTCAGCTGTCTTGGTATTATGATTCCCTGCAGACATAAAACTGGCGATTGTAAGCATTTTATTTAATGTAAAATGTACAATTCTTTCAAAGTTTAACAGAAATGCTGGATGCATCCCTTAAAAATAATGATTTTATTTGCCTGGTCTTGAAGTACCAATATTATTTATTCAGAAGTCAATAATAAAATATTTGCTTGATTCTGTTGATTTCTTTTATACACTTTAGAAATGCCAGTCACTGAATCCCCAACAGCTGTAGCTGTTCAGGACTACACTCAATTGGATGATTCTGGGTTAAATTATTATATTTTCATCATAGCAATGTTGAACAAGTTGTATAACTGTACTTGATTTAATTTTATTTTTGAATTTTGCACTTTTATGTTGCATTTTATTTTGCACATTTTTTTAGTTTATATTGTTGTTGTTGTTGTTGTTGTTGTTGTTGTTTTATTGGAAAAAGTAAGATTGATAAACTTCTACTCCGGGACCCAAAAGTGGTACACTTGATGGTGAAATAACTGTGAAATGAAAGAATTAGGTACATAGAACTATGCTACAACAGCTTTCCCTGGATTAGCTTAATCAAACTTTGAAATCACCTGGCCAACAATCCTGTTTATCTGGTTCACTCAAGAGCTGGATTACAAAGCAAAACATAGGGCACATACAGTACTGAAGATAACAGAGGTTCTTTGCTCATGAAAGTCCTTGTCCAGTCCTTCTGTGTCATCTGATCTGGAAACAAAAATTTAAAATATTCAATGAAGCTCATCAGTTATTTTCAGAACAGACCAATTTTCCATTAACATTCAAACCTCAGCTTGCTTTATGGACACCCACTTAATACAGAAACCTAATAATTACGGACACTTTGCCTTGTCCCTGCTTAATCTAGACATCCCGTTAATATGGACACTTTCTATGGCCCCCTTAGTGCCCATATTAAAAAGGTTTTGACTGCATCACATTTTCATGAATACCAGTGAGCAAACATGTTGGAATAATTTACCACACATGAATTATAATAAATTAACACCCACCCCTTGACTGTACTAGCAAATAACAATTCTGGTATCAATTTTATAGAACTTTTACAATTATAATTTTACAAGTGTACAGCTGTAACAATATAATTTCAGACTGTTTCCACTGATTTAGGACCAGTAGTTTTTTGGGCGTAATTTAAGTTCCAGGTCACTTATCCTGCCGTTTAGTGTAACGTTTGTGACCATTATTCGAGGATCACTCATGTACCATTGCCATACTTTATGTATTGTCCTTCACTGTTTGGATAATACCTTCACCATCAGGTGTGTGTGTGTTTTTAATTCCTTTAGTTTATTTCTTTAGGTTTTTCTCTGTGTACATTTCTTTGTTTTGTATTTATTGTTTGGTTTGATTATATATAGCTTTCTTGTGGTTTAATTGCTGTTATCAGAAACCTCTGTACGAGAAAACAGAAAATTGAAGTTCACTGTAATGGAGTAAAGAAGTTCATTTGTTCAGGGTGTGATTAACACAGACTCTAAACAATGGATACACTTGTAAATTACACTTGTAAAAGTCTTATTAAATTGACCCCTGAATTGCAGACCCAGTCAGTCCCTAAGTCAGTTGCTCAGTCAGTCAGTCAGTTGCTTGCAGTTAGTCAGTCACTTGGTAAATTCAGTTACATGTAGTCAGTCATTCAGTCAGTTGCTCAATAAGTCATTCTGTCAGCCAGTCAAGTACCCAACTGCACAGTCAGTCAGTCAGTCAGTTTCTCATTCAGTCATTCTGTCAGCCAGTCAAGTACTCAACTGCACATTCAAACATTCAGTCAGTTGCTCAATCAGTCATTCTGTCAGCCAGTCAAGTACCCAACTACACAGTCAGTCAGTCAGTTCCTCAATCAGTCATTCTGACAGCCAGTCAAGTACCCAACTGCACAGTCAGTCAGTCAGTCAGTTGCTCAATCAGTCATTCTGTCAGCCAGTCAAGTACCCAACTGGACAGTCAGTAAGTCAATCAGTCGCTCAATCAGTCATTCTGTTAGCCAGTCAAGTACCCAACTGCACAGTCAGTCAGTCAGTTGCTCAATCAGTCATTCTGACAGCCAGTTAAGTACCCAACTGCACAGTCAGTCAGTCAGTCATTCAGTCAGTTGCTCAATCAGTCATTCTGTCAGCCAGTCAAGTACCCAACTACACAGTCAGTCAGTCAGTTCCTCAATCAGTCATTCTGACAGCCAGTCAAGTACCCAACTGCACAGTCAGTCAGTCAGTCAGTTGCTCAATCAGTCATTCTGTCAGCCAGTCAAGTACCCAACTGGACAGTCAGTAAGTCAATCAGTCGCTCAATCAGTCATTCTGTTAGCCAGTCAAGTACCCAACTGCACAGTCAGTCAGTCAGTTGCTCAATCAGTCATTCTGACAGCCAGTTAAGTACCCAACTGCACAGTCAGTCAGTCAGTCAGTCAGTCAGTTGCTCAATCAGTCATTCTGTCAGCCAGTCAAGTACCCAACTGGACAGTCAGTCAGTCAGTCATTCTGACAGCCAGTCAAGTAACCAACTGCACATTCAGTCAGTCAGCCAGTTGCTCTATCAGCCATTCTGACAGCCAGTCAAGTAGCAACTGCACAGTCAGTCAGTCAGTTGTTCAATTAGTCAGTGTCTTGGTACTGTAGGTTGCCCATTCAGTCAGTTATATAATCAGTCATTCCATCAGCCAGTCAGTCAGTCAGCCAGTAACTAGTTGCTCAGTCAGTCAGTCAAAATGGTTTGTTGATTAGTTAGAAATATACTAAGCAATTTTTTCAAAAAAAAACAGTTGATCAGTCAGTCTCTTTATGAAACTTTAAACCAAACAGTTTTGTTTATCTGCTTTACTTAAGAGCTGGATTAAAACACGAAACATGCAGCACTTACACTACTGAAGATAACAGAGGCTCTTGGCTCATGAGGGTCCTTGTCCAGTCTTTCTGTGGCATCTGATCTGGAAACAAAAGTTTACAATATTCAATGAAGCTCATCAGTTATTTTCAGAAAAGACTAATTTCCCATTAAAATCAAACCTTGCTTTACAGACCCCACGTAGTTCGGAAAGCTTATTATTATAGACAGTTTGCTTTGTCCCTGGGGAAAGGAAAGCCTTAATCTTTCTCTAAATTTAATACAGACAATTTGTTACTTTGGTCCACTTAGTGCCCATATTAAAAAGGCTTGACTGCATCACATTTTCAGGAATACCAGTGTGCAAACATGTTGGAATAATTTACCACATAATACCCACA